AACTCTTCTAGAATTTCAGATATCAGTACCAACTTTAGTTTTTCAAATGTAAGTCATAGCTCACTATGACTTAGTTACAAGTTACTTTTTTTTTCTCTTACAGATGATATGTCGCAGTAATAGTTTTGTGTGGATAACAACGGAGTTATCGTCATTTATACAAAAACAAAAAATTATTTGGAAGTCGCCATAATGAATCTATAAATTTTAACGAAAAAATCATGATCTCCGACCTCAAAAACCCCCACTCACCAATTTTGAATGAAATCGGACCAAATCTTGTCCGCCATCTTGGAGCAGCCATTTTTTTTTAAATCAACAAAAATTCCATAACTCCGATTAACTTGAAATTTGGCAGGTGTTCATAATTTCGGTGACAATACATTATGGAATTTTTGTTGAAATTAAAAAAATGGCTACTCCAAGATGGCGGACAAGATTTGGTCCGATTCCATTCAAAATTGGTAAGTGGGGGTTTTTGAGGTCGGAGATCATGATTTTTTTGTTAAAATGTATAATTTCAAGATGGCGGCTTCCAAATAATATTTTGTTTTTGTATAAATGACGATAACTCCGTTGTTATCAACACAAAACTATTACTGCGACATATCATCTGTAAGAGAAAAAAAAATTACTTGTAACTAAGTCATAGTGAGCTATGACCTACATCAGAAAAACTAAAGTTGGTGCTGATGTCTCAAATTCTAGAAGAGTTGGTATGAATTACATATTTTTTTCGAAATCACTTTGGAAAACTGCCATGAGAATGTGGAATTCCTATTTGAATATTTTCATAAATAAAGAAGTTACGGAGGAGACATGAAAATGATCAGAATCTGATTTTGCGTATAAAACAAAAACGAATAGATTTTATCAAAATATTTTTTCACATTATAGTTGGCCTTGACAAACTTCACATTTGGTGTCATTTAACCGACCTCGTATCTCTCACCGTTAAAAAGATACCCATGGTGAGCATGGTAAGTGGGACACACTGTATATTCATCAAGAAAAAATCTTGTTTTATGGCAGGAGGGACTCATCACTCATGTGGAGTTGGCGCCGGTTTTATTTGAACTCATTTTTTCTTGGGGTTCCGTTTAGATTTGATGGAGTTCGAGAGTTTCAGCAAATCGTAGATGTAAATGGAAAAATGTAATTTTGGGAGCTAACTTAACGCAGCGCCGTTTTTTTCGAGAAAATGAGTACTTTGTTGTTGTATTATAAAGAGTTCTGAAGTTCTGAACCTATTTCATCAATAGCTCTGATGAACTAAGCAGATTATTGAATGATTTAAGAAAATTCAATACGAAAATATGTTTCACTACAGGCGGCATTTCTAAGTGACATACTATTACGTTCACTTTCGTATTGAAGAAAAAGCTATCGAGAAGCTATGGGAAAAAAATCGATAGTTTTCCATTTATCAGATGTCATAAGGTGCTGACCTCGAAAAACTAAAATTTTTGGTAGAAAATGCATGCATTTATCAGCTGTCATAAGGTGCTGACCTCAAAAAACTAACATTTTCGATAAGAAATGAATTCCAAAGAACAGAACAGTTCTGATGGGAGTTCTGAGAAGCGCTTGACGAGTTCTTCTAAATAGTCTAATTGTGTTTTAGTGACAAATCGATACTTTTTTATTTATCAGCTGTTATAAGGGGATGACCTCAGAAATCTGAAATTTTCGATAGAAAATTAATTCCAAAGAACAGAACTCGAAGAACTTGTCTAGCGCTACTCAGTACTCCTATCAAAACTGTTCTGTTCCTCAAAATGTTAGTTTTGGAGGTTTAGAGTTTTTCTCCCATAAAATACGAAACTCTTTTGATGGAATACAGTGCGATGTTGACTGGGTAGGATTGAGTAGGCACCATAGCTTCCTCAGGGGCTCATGACTTGATAGTACGGGAATGTGGGATACCCGAGGTACCCTTGCAGGATACTCATTAATCTTCAACTTGTCTTTGATGATATCCTCTCCACTCTCCAGTTTCCAATCTTTCATATCCCCAATAACCTTTCTTGGGAAGATCACGTGGGATCAATTGCTGAAAGTGCATTCCAAAAACTTGGTTTTCTGTTTCGGGCCAGTCAGCGGCTTATGATTTATAAGGCACAGACCCGACCTGTCCTGAAGTACTGTTCCCATATTTGGAGTGCAGCACCAAAACATACCCTGAAACTGTTGGATTCTGTCAAAAAAAGGGCAATTCGTCTCGTGGGTGATGCCTCGCTCACAAACTCACTCACTTTTCTGGAACACCGTAAAAAAGTTGGCGATCTGGCTCTACTTTATAGATATCTTCATGGACGATGCTCTCCTGAAATATCAACAAATTTCCTTCCCTTGGCAGTCCCTGCGAGATTAACCCGTCGAGTTGAGGCTTCTCACCCCTTCGTGGTCACCTTGATGAAAAAAAAAATCGGCATATCTCAGTCAATTGTTCTGTTTTCTTTTCCCTCTGGAGCCCAACCTTACCATGGTGCTGGAAGGATGAGCCGCAGCTGCTCACCAAGCATTTGTGAACATCCCTGTTTCCAGTCACTCAAATGGGTCAGTTCCCACAACCAGGTCCCCAGGTCCACAACCTTGTGGACCTCTGGGATCTCAGAGTCTGTGCGAGAGGGGCATCACAGAGCTGAACGAACCCCTTTTTCCATTACTCGTAGGAGAAAGAAAACTTTTGCCATCTTCATGGATGTGAGATCAGCGATAAGATCAAATTCTGATATGAATGAGAGGTTGATGATTGAACATTTATGTGAAACAGAAATAGATTTGTACGTCCCTGAGATCCTACTAGGATTTGGATTGCACAAACAAAATAGCTTCCTCAATAATCACACAATATGCATGACTTTGAAATCATCTACTACTTGTGAATCATGGTTTCTATAGATATATATTATTGATCAGCAGTGTCCAAATAAAGTAGATAATATGAAATACATTTATGCAGTATCATGGCGATAAAAATACCCGAGTGACTTGCAATAATTATTACATGATATTATTATAGATTGCGGCTTATTTATTCATACAGGGTGAACCTGTTTTCTGTAGCAGGAAGGTTTCGAGATGAGCATCTCATGTACAGGGTTGTATCAGATGTATTCATTTTCGTGTTTTGCCACTGAGTTTCGGTAATATACCTGACAGCTTCAGATCATTCCGGGTATTCAATAGTGAATTATTGGGAAATTTCGAATATAGTGGGTTTAGTTTCATCATCAGTGAATTTTCGCATTTTTCTCGAAATCTATGCATAGAGTTCTTAAAAAACACATATATAGGCCCTCTTGAGTACTTTTCATTCGTTTGTTTGTTTTCTTTGTTTCTATTTCGTTGAAAATAGGTTACTATTCTTTACTGAAAGTACATACTGATTAGACCCCATAGGTTTATTTCATTATCTTTTCTTGGAATTCGTATTTCATTCAGAAAGATTTGAATTCTCAACAAGAATTCACTGATGAAATGAAAATCGGAAAAAAGGATCTACTGGGCGTCATCAAGAATAAACAACATTGTGATGGTTGGTTATTTGGGTTGAGACGCATACCTGATTTGTTTCCGATTTCAGCAGATTTGGCATTTCATACCCATGCTGGAGATATAAAAACACCTTATTATAGTTTAGTATTGGAATTATAAACATCTCAGCTAAGTATTTTTGTTTTGATCAGGGAAGCCTTCAAGATTCAAATAATTGCTTGATCTGTATTTAATTCATTCGTTATTCTCGGGATGGATAACTTGTTTTTGAATAATCACGGCAAGCAATAGTTTTTTTGTCTCAAACAACGATATTGTTTAGTTTCATTTGATTATCAAGTCAAACACAGTGTAGTATGGAGAGGAATAAATAATCACTATTATCATTGTTGATATGATCACTAACCTAACATTTTCCACGTCTTCTTGCTATAGCTGGCACTGGCGCGGTATTTGCCATTAGAGCAACTGGTCCATACACAAATATGTCACTCTGTGGTTGTATTTCTATTGAAACTACAATTCGAACATCCTAGAAAACCTAACCTGCTGTTAATGCAGGTAGAATATTCTCACCACATGGATTATTTGTCAATATTTGTTGCATTGCATACATTAGGCACGGCATTGGTGGTTACTTCACATGTTTATTTGAGTTAATTGTTTCGGTTGCAGAAAAAATAGCATGTTTTATTCGGATCAAAAGTGACTTTGTTCGACTCGCAAATTTTGCTTCCGCTCGGCTTCGCTAAACGCTCCGCCTCGCAAATGCAAAATTCGCTTGTCAAACAAAGTGTCACCTTTGATCCTAATAAAACAATCTACTATTATCTCTCAGTAGACAAGTTGATATATGATCAATGGATACACCAAATTTCATGACTCTACCCTATCAGAAAATCCCAAAAAACTCTGGACGAGTAAATGAAGTTGTCACTCTATTTTCTTCTCGTGAGCTATCTTTGCCGAAATGCAGCAGTTCCACAGAGGAAATCAGCAAAACGAATATCTCTTTTCAACTAGAAACTTACTATTTTCTTCTGTTTCTTTTTTGTATATCGCTACTTCGAAGTTCGAACCAACTTCCCTGACCAGAAGTCGAAACTGGTGCGGACCGGGACCAACAGCTTATAGTGGAATACGAACCACTTCTAGGACGCCAAGGTATTCATTTCCAGGATAACAAGCACAAATCACACATTTTAAAGAAAAATGAACAACTTGAACATGGTGATGCCCCTGAAGAATAGACCGCAAGATAGTTGTGATTCGCCTCGTGATTTGCAATGTATTTATCTCTCATGGGCCATCATTGCTATAGGAACATGTACGCCTATGGTGTAGCGACAATTGGAGAATTAACAGAATACAAATTTCACAATTTGTTTACTTTGTGGATGGTGTGATGACTATCGATTTATTTATCATGTATATCCCTACCTAAGGCACGACTGAATTATCAGGCATCACTATATATATGAGGTAATATTGTGATCTATGTCATATAGTTTTTGGTGTTCTTGTTCGCTCGTATAGTTATCACTTGACTGAAAAAATGGTGAAAGCAAAAGTTTATAAATATGTTAAAGAGTTCGAAGGTACACCAAAAAAATCCGACTTCAAAGTTATAGAAGAGGAATTGCCTGAACTTAAAAATGGAGGTAAACAATGATAATATATAAACAGGGTGATTAAAACTCCGATATAAATATTCTAAGGACATATAGTTGGGATCAAATTAAGACTTTTTCTTCATATACATGTGTCGTAGAGTGAACTTCCTCCGAGCTATACACAAAAGTGTGGACTCCCCTCCAACTCCCCCAAAATTGGGTTAATATAATTTTCTTAGCAAAAATTGAGGAGAATTCCTGAAAAAACAGGAGCATAACAATTTTTAGGCGATTTGATCCGTAATTCTGATCATATATAATTTCAGATAATCTTTTTTTTTTAAGTAACAGTGGCTGCAGTTTGGAGGGGTGCATTTCAGGATTCATGTTTATGTGGAGAGAAAGTCTTATTTTGAACCCAAAACAATACCTCCTTGAGATATTTACATCGAATTATGAACCACCCTGTTGTAATGCTTATGAAGTTATTGCTATTAACATTACAAGGCCGATATGTAGTGAATAACTACTAATTATATATGTACTAGTAAACAGAAAAGTAAACTATCTCGAACAAATTAGAAATGAACAAAACAAACATTCTCATAAGAAAATAATAATATTCGTGATACTCAATTTAAAAATAATCACAAATATCAAAAAATACATTTACATATATACGTTTTTATAAGATTAGAGTATATAAAAAAGCATCAGGAACGAATACTTAATCAAATCAAACGTACGAAACAAACTGTTATAACAGAGGTATATAAAAAAATTGATTTGATCTGAATCAGATGAAGTATTGTCCTTTTTTGGCTTATACATATCATTAGTACCAATATATATGTAAATTTATTACTTATTTTGTAAAATTAATTCAAACAGAGCGTGCCGAAATATCATGCACTTCGTAAGTGTATGTGATGAACTAAACCTCAATTATATCATCAGTTATTTTGATAACAAACAAGTGTGAAAATATTCTTCAGATGGTTATGAAATGTTCAAGTAGATCACTATCAATATGCAAATCAGGAGATCTACTGAAAATTCAGTAGAACTGGCAATCATGCAACGGACGAGAAGTGTTTACAGTCGTCTTCAGAGAACATGTCGCACATGGACGGTGTCAGCTCTCTTTCACCGCTGCAATACGAGCGCTCATACCTTCCGACCGCGACATGGTCACTGAGGACGAGTGTACATATAACCTTTTTCTGGGGTGCTTCAACGAATATCTCATCCAATGGAAGTTAATTTACCAACTTAATTTTTTTGTTTCAGAATTTCTGGCGGAAGCTACTTACCTTAGTGTTGACCCTTATATGAGAGCACATCCCGATGCTGTAGGTGAAACAATGGTGGGAACACAAGTGGCTAAGTGAGTATTTTTTTCATGTTTTCTAACAAGAAAGCTCCATTTACCGTCAATTCTATCAATGCTGTCTTCATATAATCGACACCCTGTGTTATCCATTTTTCTCACTTTTTTATGAGGTCATAATCAACGAACCACCCAGTATATTTTCAACATATTCTCCTCTTCCACTTCCCAAATGACTAACATACTAGTCAGTGGAGAAAATCAGGTCCGTATGATCAGAACAACACCCTGTAACATCAAAATTTCCATTGTAATTCACAAACAATTTTTGCACTAGATGGACAAATCAAAATTGTCTACGATCATGCAAGAAACAAACCTTTATCGAACTATTCTTAGTAGAAAACGTGGTTCTTCATTGCACTAGTGCAATGAAGTTTTCATTACATTCTGTCATATTACTACAGGGTATTTGACATGAAGAACATAAACGTTCAAATTGCCGTTATGCCATAGTCCATTTCATGACAGATAGCATAAGCTATTAAACAAATTCATATTTCATGTTCACAGTGCCTTCTCTTGATAATTCAGTCATAATCAAGACAGTTCCACTCCATCTTTTATCGAGTTTTCTTTCAGGCAGATCGCTCCATGTGGTGGTGGACGGAGAATCGTCTGATAGCATTGCTATCAATTCCGGCGTTCCACAAGGATCAATTTTGGCACCAACATTGTTTCTAATTCATATCAACGATCTATTGGAAGCAACCACTCGTCCCATCCACAGCTTTGCTATCTTCTAGAATTCCCATCTCTTTTTAGGAAACCAAGAACTTACGATAAAGGCAGGCCAACGCTGTCAATGAAGATCTTGCGGAAATCACAGCCTGGTGGTTCCCCTAGTTGTATTCAACCCCACCAAAACTCAAGCCTGAATTTTCTCTAGAAAAGGCTAACTCAGTATGCCTGATATTACAATGTCTGGTGCCACCATTCCCATCAAGACAACTATATCTATGCTCGGTATGACCATCTCTCTCATGGAAAAATCATGTCCGATCCATCGCAAAAGCTGCTTCACAAAAACACGGATTTTTGTTTCGTGCGAAAACCTACTTCACGCCTCAACAGTTTATTAGGATCTACTAAGCACAGACACAGCCAGTTTCAGAATGCTGTTTTCATGTATGGGGTTCAGCATCCGAACAGACGCTGATGCTCTTAGATTCCATTTAGAGAAGTGCCATTCACCTGGTGGGTGATGTCATAGTCACTATCTTTTCGACCTTATTAGAACACCGTTGAGAAGTCGACGACCTTTCACTTCTCTATGGATACCTCCACGGGAGATATTCCTCTGAAATCTCTACTGTAATTTCATCATTAGCAATACCAGTCAGACGATCTCGAGAGGCCCTGACTGACTTTCGTCGTTAAACTTGAAAAATGTCTCACTCAACACTCTACCAGAACTCGTTCGTCTATCAAACGGCGAAGCTTTCCAATTCTTTGCCAGTTATTCCCAAGAACTCATATCCCTTTTACAATATATATAGGAATTCAAATTTCGCGCGCTCCAAGAGATAAAAACACATCAAGAACACTTTTTTTAAATCCCTTGGTTCATCAAATTTCCTCAGGAATAAATATATCGTTTCAAGAACTGAGTGAATTTTTTCAGAGTAATTAAAAGCAAAAACCCGAAGTTTCCAGTGGGCAAGCTCGTCGTAGGTGGATTCGGTTGGAGGTCCCATACCATTTCTAATGGAGATGAAGAGGCTTTCCTAGGAAAACCCTACGTCCTTCCAGATATAGGTGATCTCTCACCATCATTGGCACTTGGTGTGCTGGGAATGCCTGGGTAAGCAAATATAACACGTGATTTACAGAATCTCATTTCTAGACAATTTATAGGAATCAGCTGATTGAAACAAGAAATTGACACCTTCAGGTTCAGTACAATACAAATTCATGAAACTATCCATCTAAAATCTTTATCAAAAACTAACAGTTCAAATTACCAAAAAATCAGTACTGAGTTTTTTGCTTAAGTACTCATTTTTGCAAATTTACATCTAACAAAAGTGTACAAAAAATCAATTTACACGAATCCTGTTGGAAATTGAGAGTTATCAGCCAGGTCGGAATTGAAAATTCATACCAACGTTTTTGTTTTATAATTTTTGATTGGACCGAATGAAGGTGCCGTGGAAATTGAAGGGCAAGTCTTGTGGGCTCCTGTCTGATCCTTCTAAATCTGATGAAATGTTTCGAGAAAAAAGATCCCAAAGTGAAATAAAACATAAATTCTCCTCAATCCCAGGACCAGTTTTTTTTCTTCATAATATGCAATCCTGAGAATTTTCCATAGGGAAACGTTGCTGTCAAATTCCAGGAAATCACGATGAATCATTTCTGAAATATATGGCCCAACAAAGTAATATGGCAATTCCACATAATCTACGTTGAATATAGGTTGTATATCGAATCGTTACATATCAGGAGTATTGAGAAAGGATGTCATTTGGCGACATCGCAGTCATCGGTACCAACGCTCATGAATCACCCTGTATAATAATGTCTCATTTCCTTTATAGCTAATTTCATTCACGTTAGGCAAAGTTTTTCTTTACCTCTTCAGAATTTTCCCCACTACATTGTCGCACTTGAATTGGTTTACCTAGATTTCTTTTACTTTGAGCTTCAGACTCATCTGTTCTGTTTTACATTCATTGAAAAAAATGTACCCACCACGAAAGTTTTCTGTTCTCAATACATTTTTCAGTCGATTTTTCTTCACTCCTTTTCGTAGCGTAGTTTTTGTCCCTCTTTGTAACGCCTTTTACTCTTTCTACATACTTCACTCCATTGCTCAGATGTTAGTTTCTTCCTCTTCCGTATATATGATTCACAGCGGTGGGTTTCTATAGATCTGAATATGGTTTAGTAGACTTACAATTTTTTTGGGAGTCATTCCTCTTCTGTTCAAGAATCCATAGTTTAATGCATAATAAACTTCATTAGATAATTTTATTCTGTTGAACCAGTTCATTTTTCTCGTCTCTTCTATAGATTGCTAAGAGTACTGGCAACCTTCGACCTGTTGTATTATCTCTTACTCCATAATCACATATATTTCTCCCTTTTTTCCTGAGGTGACTATCACTTCAGTTATAATTGTTATTACTTTGATGAAATCCATGCTATACTATACTTTATTAACACTTCCTTTCATAAATTCTCAGATTTTTATTCAAAACTTTATTGCTTTCTATTATAACATCTACACGCAATCTATGAACACACATTCAGATATACCTAATCCTTCCTGGAAACCTGTATCCAAATATGAAGGGTGTTCCGAAATTACATAGAAGGTTCTCAATCACAGTTTCTAGGAATAAATATAGTCAATCAAACTTTATATAAACATGAATCTAGAAAAGGCTCCCGATCAATGTTGAAGGAATTGATGATTATTGGCGAGCACGATCAGAATTCATTATTGTTAGATATATGCCAAAAAGATAATATGATCTGTATTAATAAGAGTGATGATAATTGAATAAATTCTGGGACTTGATTCGAAAATAGTAACAAGGATTTCAGCAATGGAGATTTTTCAATTTCATCATCGTGAGCACTATAGCAAACAACTACCAGTGAATATAATTTCGAATAAGGACGATAAACAAATAAATTAAAATATGTTCATTTGGAAACGCACACTTCCTGTGCGATTTAAAAAGGTGTCAATTCACTGGTGTGGCTGGTGTGACGTATTAGTCCCAATACGGCTATTGTCCTTGAGCTGACCGATCAAACTGCAACACTGCAGAATGACAAGGTATCAGAGAGAGATAGCTACAGTTAGGGACTAATACGTCAGGGTTCCACCGTCATATACGGTATTTGAAACATCAAATGGAATATGCTGCTTTCAAAACGCTACAGATTCGATTCCCTTCAACTTCAACTCATAATATTGATTGTACCTCAGATATAAATCATGATTCATCCATTGAAAGTGGTTTGGACGGATTTCATGCCTCAGTGGTCTTCCACATTGATTATAATGATTCCATTATTTCAGAAACACAGCTTACTTTGGTTTACTGGAACTGGGTAAGCCTAAGTCTGGAGAAACAGTGGTCGTTTCTGGAGCAGCTGGTGCTGTAGGCAGTATTGCAGGCCAAATAGCCAAAATTAAAGGCTGCAATGTGATAGGAATCGCAGGTTCAGATGCCAAGGCGAAATGGCTGGTGGATGAGCTGGGATTCGATCACAGTATCAATTACAAAACACAAAACGTCCATGAAGAATTGTCGAAGATGGCTCCAAAAGGGGTTGACTGCTATTATGACAATGTGAGTCTATAAAATTTTGTTCTAAAATTTGTTATTATCGATCATTCGGTTGCCCCCTTGCAACCCTCAGAAGTCTTCAAGAGACTTGTGCAAGCGGGGAATGACGAAGGTCTTACTTTTTAACGTGTGATCCCAAATACTTTCTTATGCCATCAGGAAAGTTTCTGCGGTCGTGGTGGGAATCGAAGCCACCTACCGGAAATCCAACGTGTATAGAATAGACGTTTCAACCACGAGGCTACGCTGGCCACTGTCTATAAGATTCTTCCACTAATTTCAGGAAACAAGGTTTTGATTGGTTATTGGAATATATCTTCGTAGATAATTGGAAACGCTATAATCTCGGTTTTGTTATACGACTGTTGAATGGATACTATAGGTAGTACCTATCACAGAGTACCTACCATGCTGTGCTGTTGTTTTTGTTATTTCGCTTCCTTATATCAAAACAAAGTGACTGATCAGCAGCAGTATACTTTCAGTAATTGTCGTCTACAGCACAACAGTTAATAGTAATTCACGTAACACGCCTGAAAAATACTGTTTCTTTGGAAATTTTGTATGGTTATTTTCAAACCCACTATCGCTGCTGCTTTCGATAGTTCATTGCGATAATTGGAACCAAACTTTCAAAAATCAAAATGTCAACTATTCTCATGTCAAATAGCTGTCAGTCGTTCGAGAAGTACGTACTACCATGATTTGACCGGAAAAATGCGTCTTTCCCAGAGAAAAAGAGTCCGGGAAATGAACATACAGAGAATATACAATGTACATATTCTTTCAACTGTGATAGCGCGGAATATTTTCTCTTACCTAGTCTTGTGATTCTTCAGGAGAGCGTTTTAAAGGTTTGTCCAATCTGTGAGGACATAATAATAATGCAAACTTTGAAACATTATAGTTCATAATGATATTTCTAATTATTATTTTTTAGTACGATCAATAATCAATAACTCCATTTTCAATATGACCGTTTGTAATCAACGAGAATATTTTGTTGGAACTAGAAAGTAAAATAAAAAATCGTGAACATGGTTACATGATTGTATTGTATTGACGGCACAATATCCCTTTATGAATTTTGGGATTCAATTGAAAAACATATAGTTGGACAAGTAGATTTGGAATAAAGCTATGACTGAAAAAATCCTTCCCATAGTCAATTCACTCAATTTTTCAATATTCAATTTTTCTGTTGAAATAATTTCACGAATTGACGGAATTCACGTGAAATACGTTGCGTTTATTACAGGCGAGCAATAAGAAAATTACATGAAATGGCTTCGAACTTGAAATCTTTCAAATTTGAGAATGATGAGTAACACTCAACACAGGAAACTTTGTCAGAAATCGAAATAGGTAGATTCTAACGAATTTTTATCGAACAATTTTGGATCAATTGTGTATAATCTGCAATTCAAAGTAAAACTATAGTAATCATCCAATGCTCACCACTTTTTGTCTCTTTTCTTGAATAAGGTGTCACCTTAGCAAAAATGTTCAAGTTTAATTGTATGGAAATACGAACTTGACAATGTTTTTTATTCATGAATAATTTCAACAAATACAAGTCATTTTATTGATGATGATCGGAAATTCCTTCTCTTATTCGAAATCCATTATGTTGATTCAGAAAACCATACTACAAACTATGAAAATTTGTATCTGAATAAGCATCAATAGACTAGTTTTATCACATCCGAAAAATTATCAGCGTGGCACAAAGGTATCAATCATTTTAAAAATAAGAATTTCATTGGTTTCAGGTTGGAGGAGAGATAAGTGATACCGTACTGAAACATATGAATGTATTTGGAAGAATTGTAGCATGTGGAGCAATCTCCCAATATAACAATATTAATACCATTTGTAAGTATCAAGTGTTCCCGTCAGGTTAATATAATTCTCCTTTCCTAAGAAATTGTAGGTCGCCAATAAAAAGTTTTCTGAATCATTTTCAGATGTTTTTCAAGTCAACATCGATTTTCTGCGACCAGTATTCTCGAATATTCATTTAAATTACTCAGTGACATTGAAATCCATCGGTTTCAGATGCATAACTTACTGCTTTTCGTGTTTCAGTTGGATACAACCAAACCACCATTGTATTCTCGCAATTGACTATATATGGATTCGTAGTCAACAGATGGTTGGACAGATGGTTGGAAGGAATAGTCCAAATGGCGGAATGGGTGAAACAAGGGAAAGTGAAGTACCAAGAAACATTAACCGATGGATTCGATAATATGGTCGATGCCTTCGTCAATATGTTAACTGGTGGCAACGTTGGAAAAGCTGTCGTCAAAGTGTAACATCATCTATGAGAAAAGGCGATTCGAATAGAAGAACTTTCCGATATTTATATGAGTTGATATATAAAGAATTGAATATTGACCGAAGTTTGTATATATACCATTAGGTTAGTAATATATATGTAGGTATAAGCTAAAATACCTGCTGTGAAATGATGAATAAATTAATGATTGTTTCTGTAACCAATTGCATTCGATCTTCAAAACCTTTCTTATGATATTATTATGATGACAAAGCTGCCATATTCTTTGCTGATGCCAATCGTTCTCCTGCGAACACCTTTACAGCCTTGTGCACGTGTGAAATAATGAATCTATTTGAATACTAAAGCAAATTTGAAACGGAGTTTTGGAAATCATATAGGTAGAAGTTATCAGTTTCGTCTAAAACTTATTGAGAAATGTTTATAGAATTGAAATGTTGAATGTGGAGATGTGAAATAATGTTGAATCCAAATTATTTCGTTAGAGGAAGAAAGGTCTCATCAGATAATCATAATAATAATGGTGATAATTTCATCCATCATAATGCAAAAAACATCAGAAGCAGACGAATACAGCAATCCTAGAGATGAATAAGAATTAACTCAGACAACCACAAGGAAATTAATCCGCTCGTGGTAAATATCTTCGCTATAAGAAAAAAGATCGTTTATAACAAAGAAAACACATTGATGGAATCATCACAGGAAACATAATATATTGGATGCTATTTCATAAAAAACACGCGAAATGAAGGATCATTTATTTAATTCGAGCAGAAGATGAGCATCTACGCCAAATAGAACTGATGTATTTGAATATCTTCAGGATACTGATGCAACTACTATGCAACCAACAATGCACGAATTAGTTTTGTTCGATACAGAATCGAAAAATTCATCGATGACGTTATGGATGAAAAATGAGATGAGTTCACAACGACCAATTTCAAGATTGAATCAACGACCCTCCATTCCAATTATTGTTAATACAAAACCAGTTCATGATCTATAATTGTGTACAGTCAATATTGTCATTGATTCAGAAATTTACAATATTGATTACATATTGATAGGAATTAGGAAAATATTTCATGTTGTCTATTTCAATTTGCACTTCTGTTGAATGGACATAGCTGACAGAACTTTCCCACAGAACCTAACCTAACCTTCCAAAAAAATTTAAGGCTCAGGAAGTATCGCACATCATACTAATTTCTTGAGGAATTGAAGGATGGTGATAATTGCAAAGTTGACATTTCTGAAGCAACGACTGATCATGGGTTCTCATGAATCCTATACGATAAACTGTTGCGTTCCAATGAAAGTGCTGTAGGTGAGTGTCAACTATAACCAAAAAGCCTATCGCTACTACTGAGGACACGTTCTGTTACTTGGCATCCTCATTTGAGAAGAAAGGGAGATATTTTCTATGCTAAAATTTAATTTTCTGTTCCCTTCATTCATATTGAAATATACTATTACATATATATTTGGGTCTACTATCAGAGATAGTGAAAACAAGAGAGGCTAATTGAGATCGATACAGATGGAAGGGTTTTTATGAAGAAGGCATTCAAATCAACCAAATTTGGGAAATATGGTGGTATATTTCTTCGAGTTGAATCTTGTTGATCCAATTTTTAATTGATCTTTAAATTTGCAATGACTGAGTTATCGATGGTTTCTTATGTGTTTGTGTTCATATCGATAAGATTCAGCTTTGATATGGATAAGTAGTTGAATACTGATAACTACTAATTAAATGAGTTTTGTACATACGTCTCTGAGAACCTACTAGAATTTGGGTCGATTCAATAAAAATTCTTGTCAATAATCATCAAGCATGACTTCGAAATTACCTACCACTTGTGAATCATGGTTTTCATGTAAGGTGATCGAATAATCACTGTTCAAATAAAATAGATAATCACAAAATATTATACCATAGATGTAATTCCAGTGATTGGAATATCTAAGCCAAGCTCCGATATTTTGTTTCTCCTAATAAATGAAACAAGGTACAATTTGTCTTGGTCTATTTTTCGAACTACACAATATTTGCATTTTCCTAAGCTTCAATCAAACAACTCAGTCAAAATAGGTATGGTGAATATTATAAAATATCTGACAGAAATTCAAGAAAATATTCATTAGGGTATACATTTGCTTTGTTTCCTGATATTTCCCGGAATCTATGAGCGACAATTGATCTAACATTCAGTATATTGAATTTCATGGATAAAAAGTCGTTCATTCACCGATCACGAAAGTTTCATTGAAGTTTTATTCAGCAAAATATACATATACATTTGGTAAACAATCATTCCGGATAGCCCATTTTACGCAAATAGAATGACGTTAATTTCTGTCTGTAATATACTTGTACGCTATTTTTCTGAATACGAAGGGTCTCACAACTTCTAGGTCATCTGATATCTGGGTAATTTCTCACAAAAAAAAAAAAGTGTCTAGCATATTATCTTCCGAAGAGAATATTGTTCCTGACTACTTCACTTTGAGGGATACTCTGCAAAATTGTTGTGTGCGGTCGTTTAATTATTCCTCATATTGGATCATTAATGCAAGATAGGTTGGTACGCCTATGGAGTAGCGATGATTGGTGAAACCACTTAACAGAATACAAAGTTCACAATTTGATGTTGACTCTTTGGATGGTGTTATGATTATCGGTTTATATCTCTACTAGTATTTAAGTAATAAACAAATAAAGAACACTTCGTAGAAATCCTCGTCCATTCATTTACTATAACATCATGTATATCCCTACTCCAAAAACATCTGAATTATTATCAGGTATTTACTATCTTCGGTGTATTATTTATGATGTGTATAAAGCTTAACGCACTATTGTGATCATTGTCTTATAGTTTTCGGTATTCTTGATCATTGGTTATCACTTTACTGTAAAAATGGTGAAAGCAAAAGTTTATAAATATATTAAAGAGTTCGAAGGTGCACCACAACAATCCAATTTCAAGATAATAGAAGAGGAATTGCCTGAAATAAAAAATGGAGGTAAACGATGATTATAATATAATGGTTATGAAGTTAGATGATATGGTGAAATACTTAATATGAGATTCTGATCTGAAATAATATTAAAACATGCTCCAGGATGGATTTCGTTTGATGACAGTGACAGATGTAGGTACTACAGATACTTGAATGAAACATACTGGAGATTTGAAATTCTCAATTCTCTTTTTGTGATTTCTATCAAAATATTTATTTCAGACCATAAAAAAATGGTTCAGTATGAATTATCCCCATATCAAACAAAACATTTAGCCCTGATTGTTATTATTTGTTGGCGCTTGTGCGACGGCTGTAAGCAACGTGGTTTTGCTGTCATCTATCGAAAGCTTTGCTTACAAAAATATAGATTCACCAATGAATATGCTGAGGACTTAAAGCTAATTCCCATAAAGCACGAGTACGTCCCCAAAACGTACTGGGAACGTCCGGCCAACACGTACGAAATGAGACATCCAGATAAGGACTGTAGACGTACTAGGTACGTACTGGGGACGTCTAGATTCCGCGCATTTCAACAATCCCTGTACGTTCATCCAGATCCTTGGATACCTGAATCAACGTAGATCCGCCTTTTTTACTCAGATAGTTGAAAAAAGGGATCTGGACAGAGTAGAAAAAATCTCATTTTGAATTGAAAATGATAAAAATAAATGCGCTCCTACCGGAGATAGATCCCGCGACCTTTAGATTACCGTATCAAAGTCGTTTATTCTTTTCCACATTTAGTTACAACACAAAGGTACATCCACATTATAAATAAAAGAGATATGTACAATTAAAAACTGTATAAATAAAATCCTCCGAGCGAGACAGAGGTGGCTGGTGTTGGCCAAAGAATGTGGGTGCATATGCGAAGTGTTTGTCGCAGAAGCCTATCTCATAGGGCTAAGCCCTTTATATATGTTTCACTGAGGCTACCCAATCGGTAAGGGAGTTGGTCAGAAGCTATCAGTGGCGGTTGTGTGTTTTGTAGGAAAATTTGAAATGTAGGAATCAAAAACCTCCTTCTCGTTTAGTTTTTTCAAATTACCGGGCAGACGATCTACCCATTACTCTATAGGACACTTATTGATAAGTCAGTATACAACAAGAGATTATGTACGACTGTCGATTGACCTCTCACATCGATACTTTCATAAAATTAGATGATCACGGCAGAGAATTCCTGAACAGATGTTTTGTGTTTAGGTACGGCCAGTAAGAAATTACTTGTATTATGTTCATGTATGCAATAGATATCAGATGCAAGGTATAACATGAAGTTATAGTCATGTTGTAGCCATCTAGTGGCAAAGCGGGCAAAGCTCTAAGGTAGGATACAGAAATCGCGACACACACTGTATGGCGCTGCCATCTATAGTCACACGTACAGACCCCTACGTCTATACGCTACAGATCTCGAGGATAGGAATTATATGCGATGATTTCAAATATATCATTATAGAATGTATTCAATTCCGTCCACAAAAAGTCTGTAACATCCAGAGTTAGACGTACATCGGAATCGTACGTACCAAGTACGTCTAGAAATGGACGTTTTCAGTACGTATTGGTAAGGTCTCGGACGTTCAGACCTAAATTGGACCAGAAAACGACGTCCCCAAGACATCGAGTGCTATATGGGTTCACGTCCTTGAATATATTTCTAGAAATTGGTCATTATATAGGTGATTAAGTTCAGTACCTATACCCAGGTAATTTATCATGGATATTTGATAATTATCTCTATTGGTTATCAACATTATACTCAGGTATAGGTATACGAAAATGTCTAATGATATCTGGATAAGATAATTCTGATTTAAGTACAACTAGTTTTCAATGTTTTCAATGTCCATACTATTTGAACTGTTCTCAACTCAACTCAATCATCAATCAGGGGCGTACATATTTTTTTCAGCGGGAGGATTGAAGAAAAAAATAAAATTTTTCTTGGGTTCAAATTACTTTTTGAAAAACACTCAATTACAAACGTACTAAATAAGTGAGTCTATAGATGCCTTCAACGTATGGGTAGGCTGGTCAATCGAACGAACAAAA